TCAGGAGTTCAAGACCAGCCTGGCCAACATGCATAGTGAAACCTCATCTCTAGTAAAAATACAAAAATTAGCCAGGCGTGGTGGCAGGCCTGTAATAGCAGCTACTCAGGAGGCTGAGGAATCACTTGAACCTGGTTCGAGGCCAACCTGGGTAATATAGCAAGCCCTCATCTCCACAAAAAATAAAAATAAAATTAGCCTGGTGTGGTGGTACACACCTGTAGTCCCAGCTACTCAAGAGGCTGAGGTGGGAGGACCACTTGAGTTGGAGAAATGAAGGCTACAGTGAGGTGAGATTGCGCCACTGTACTGCAGCCTGGGGGATGGAGCAAGACTCCATCTAAAAAAAAAAAAAAAAAAAAAAAAAGAAGAAGAAGAAAAAAAAAGAAATCCCATGTTCTGCTCAGTCCATACTCTCTTCCTTGGTGACCTTAGCCAATCTCAGAATTTACCACCTATGTTCTGGTGACTTCACGGACTGTATTTCCCTCCCAGTTCTTCCTCCTGAAGTACAACTTCCAACTCATATAAGTCTCAGAACACTCTGCCTCCTCATCCTCATTTCAATAATTTTGTGGAGTCCACAATATCTCCCAACTGGCCTACATTCCTCTCACCTCTTTTTGTTTTGAGATGGGGTCTTAGTCACCAAGGATAATTATAGCTCACTGCAGCCTTCATCTCCCCAGCTCAAGTGATCCTCCCACCTCAGCCTCCTGAGTAGCTGAGACTACAGATGTACACCACTACACCAGGCTAATTATTTTATTGTGTGTGCGTGTGCGTGTGTGTGTGTGTGTGTGTGTGTGCAGATGAAGTCTTGCTATGTTGCCCAGGCTGGTCGTGAACTTCTGAGCTCAAATTATCCTCCCACCTTGGCCTCCCAAAGTGTGGGGATTACAGGCTCATGAGCCACCTAGCCCAGCCTTCCTCTCGACTCTTTCTAATCCAGCCTCCAAACTGCAGTCAAGTGAGGTTCAGAAATTACAAACTTAATGATGCCAACCATTACCATTGGAATTCATTGCCCCCAGGATGACATGCAGACCCTTAACGTGGTCCGTATATGATGTGATCCTCAACCCCCGACCCTTTACCTCTCTGACCTCCTCACTCTGCTCCAGGCACACGGCCTCTTTCCTCTTCCTCCAGCAATGCCAAGAACACTCCTGCCTCAGGGTCTTGGCCCTGGCTGTTCCCTGTGCCTGAATGCTCCTCCTCCAGCTAGCTGCATGTCACACTCCCTTAAACGCAAGGTTTCGCTCAGATATCACCTTATCAGTGAGTGAAGCATCTCCCTAGAACTATAACCACTTTACCTAAGTACTAATCAACTTTTACCTTGGAAATCAGGTTAATAAATTCAGTGGCATTCAGAATAGATGATAACTGTTAACTTCAGTGAGATTAATAAAAAGTGAAATAGTTTGATGATAAAAATACAAGATTCCATTATTGCGTCCATTTTGATAGATCATGCTCATCCATAGAAATCTGTCACTGTGAGTGCGCAAGTACCTTGAAATCACTTCCTGATAGTGAGTTGAGTTGCTTCTGCTAGGCTAGAGAGATCTGTTTCCCAGTACTCTCTGAATGTAGCTATGATCACTGTGTCCATTTCACATATTCTATTTTATAGTTCTCGTTACACCCCTATGCAACAAAGGACTTGGATGGCAAAACTAAGATATTTTGCTAAATCCTCTAGGAAGCCAAACATCTCTAAAACTCTTGAAAGTGTGGTTAGTGAAAGGCGTTGTCATTGAATCTTGGATGAATTTAATATATTCCTTCTTTTGCAATCAGCCCTCTCATTTCAGAATCACAAAAAATAAATCCAGTTTAGATCTAGCTACATAAACAATAAAGCCTTAAACTAAGAACTGCCTCTTCCTTTAATACCAGAATCAAGCAAATGGCCAAGCAGATGGCAGTTTAAAACAGTAAGAATCCCGGGAACACGTGGGAAGGGTGAGGAAGATGGAGAAAGTGGAAAGACTGCAGAAAAATGATTCCAAATGTTCCCCTACTTCTTTCCTCTACCCTCTAACCCACAAAGTTTGCCTATTGTTTTGCCTCAGCTTAGAAAAAGTTGGGGCAAAATAGCTTTAGAATCAAAAGAGATCAGTTTGAATTCTCTCCTGGCTTGTAACTAATTTGAATTCTACTTCCTTGATTTATGTAAGACATAATACCTTCCTTATGCAGCTATCCTGAGAACAAAAGGAAGAACATAAAGTACGGCACAAAGGGCTATGTCTGAATCCTGCTTCCTGTCTGATTTCATACATCCCGTCCCCTCAAACACTATCTCAGAACCCACCTGCTTAATGTGAGGACTGAGGGCCAGCAGCATCAGTGTGACTAGGAGCTCATGAGCAGTTCAGGCCTGCTGACTCAGAAGCCACATTCTAGCAAGACTGCCTGTCAAAGCAGGAGAAGCATCATCCTGAAGGAAAGGTTTCCTGATTTCCAGCAACCCAACTGTTCAACTACACGTGAACTCTTGCTTATTCACCCATTTCTAGTAATTATATTTCTCACTGTGTGATGAAAGACATAACACATGTATTTTCCACGTGTGATGCATGTTGCAACAAGTCCACTCTGGATATGCTGTGGGATAGCCACTCAGTTGCTGTGTCTGTCACCATGCAAAGGGAGTGGTGCTGCCTAGGCACATCCCAGGCCCTGAGACAATTCGCTGGGGACTTACATTCTGCTCATTGGTTAGATATCCCACCATTTACACTGGAGGGAAAGCTGAAAGCGAGAAATGGCTATTGATAAATTCATGTTGAGTTTAGCAGATGGATTCCAGAGAAGAGGAAGGCACTTGTTTTTTTGACCAGAATGACATAAAAACAAATACACACTAAAGAGTCATCCAGTTAAAAGGCTTCATGCCTGTAAGCCTGAAGCAGGCGGATCACAAGGTCAACAGATTGAGACCATCCTGGCCAACATGGTAAAGCCCCGTCTCTACTAAAAATACAAAAATTAGCTGGGCATAGTGGCACACACCTGTAGTCCCAACTACTCAGGAGGCTTAGGCAGGAGGATCACTTGAACCTGGGAGGCGGAGGGTGCAGTGAGCCGGAATCGCTCCATTGCACTCCAGCCTGGTGACAGAGCGAGACTCCATCTCAAAAATAATAGTAAAAGATTTAACTAGTTAATTGAGGAGTTTATGCCCCATTGGAGTATAAACATGATTTCCAAGTCATTGCTTTCAACTTAATCTGTTGAAACCCCTTTACCCAAGTGGATATCAAGTTCTTTAACACCATCCTGGCCAGATTTCATAACTGGTGAAAACTTTCAATGATCAAACCCCCTACACTGAAAACCAGTTAATAGAGTAGAAGCATACTTTCCTTTTTGGGATAATGGAGGATTAATTTTGGAAAATGCTGACCTTTATGGGTAACATTATACTTTTGTATGTTATGAACTGATTAAAGTAACAGACTTCCTTAATACCAAACTTGATTTAGTGAAAATGATGATCAGTGCCTGCAAAAATTCTCTTAACTGTATTCCAGCAAGGACCATGCCTTATTGTTCTTCCTGTCTTCCATACCTAGTAGTTTCTGGCATGAGAACAAGTAGTCAACAAATGTTCAGAAGATCTTAACTCTTGACAAGCCAAATCTTAAAGAGCAAAGGCTATTTGTTTTTTAATGGCAAAACAGGGTAATTACACTTGCTCGAATCTTTGAGGTGATAATATAATCTAAGGAGAGATGGCAACTTTTGTAAATTGATGGGTTTTTTTTTCTTCTTTAGTGTACATCATACCCTGGAATGATTTATATATTCTATTTTTGTTCAGAGATGGTTTTTATTCTCACAAGTTTTTGTCAAAGATCTAATACAAGGATCTGATAACAGAAGCTATTGAAATAATGTTTTCAACATGCCTTTAAATTACTACTAGAAGGAAAACATGGATAATATGAAACTTAAAAACTGCAAGGTTTGGCAGTTTAGGAAAGGAACGATTTAAAGTTAACAAAAGGAAGATCGTTTGCAATTTGTATAAGGATTATATAGACATTGAAATATTTTATCTGAGAAATATTTTGAGTTATTAGTAATATACAATAGAGGGATTGATGTTTTGAAGAAAAATTAGTACTTAAATCAACCAAAGCTGCATATCATCAACTTTTGAAGTTATACTTAAATAATGCATTTAGGGGAAAAAATAATTGTTCATTATTAGAAAATAAATTAACTGTAAACTCAAGGTACATACTTGTACAAATGTTCCAACAAAGTCTGTGTTCACTTCACTGGAGACATTTAAACAAGTGGAGTCTTGCAAAGGAAAATCTTTTTCCTTTACCCAGCCATAAGTAATTACTGATTCAACTTCTTAAACAAGTCAGAGCACACTGCAGGTGCAGCAGATTTAAACAAGCATTGCATGAACCAAATGGAGATAAAACCTACCACGAACCTGAGTACTATTCTCATGGGTCAGTAAATGCACAAGTCACTTTGATGAAACCATCTACAGAATTTTTAAAAATCCTCATGGCCCTTGTTCACAACCAGTGGTCTTTGGAAGTTAAGGTCTGCTGAGCTGAGTTACAAGACAGGTGCTATATTCAATGCTGGTATGGTACTGATACCCTTTCTACCAATTTAGAGCTTTCTAAAACATCTGAAGATGGGGAAGGCATGTGAGACTAAAATAAGGATTAGAGGGGTGACTGCAGAGACTATCAGTTGGTAATGAGGGAGGAGGAGGATAAACTGGTGTTGGCCCCGGATGAGCCCAGGGTGCAGCAACAAGACAGCACAGAACTGTAGGAACTTCTAGGAACCACTGTCTGGTCCTGCTGCCAAGTGAGAGGAAACCAAAGAGGGACTGAACAAAAAAGGTACAAAGGAAAAACAAAATGAAACCAAAAGGGAAGAGTCAAAAGGTTACCCCACTAACATCCTGCATGAAAGAGAAGGGGACAAGGCCAGAGTGAAAACTCTCCTGATTCTTTCAAACACGACAGGCTTTATTTAGATCACCAAAAATAACGTTTTATAGAAAGGGAACCATAACATTACACAACAAAGTATAGCTGTAAAATCTCAAACAAGAAAGGCAAAGCTTTCTTTAGATCACCAAAAATAATATTTCACAGAGGGGGAACCATTCGAAGCAAATGTATAGCTGCAAATTTTCTTTTGCTGTCAATACCAATTCCCTCTAAAATACTTTGAGACTACTTTGCGGTTTCCAAGTACAAACTAAACCTTGTTGGACAGAGTTGCTCAGCTTCATAAAAAAAAAAAGAAACCAATTTGCAAAAAAAATTGTTTAATGCTAACAAATAATGAGACAATGTGGTTTTTGCTAGCCAACTGCAATGTCCCCTGAAATGGCCTAACCTATGTACACTTCCATGAACATCTGACTGTGAACAAAGTTGCTATCTCCTTGCCATCACAGATGGCTGGCACAGTAACAAGTGTCGTGTCAGAGCACTTTCAGGCACCCAGGAAATCACTCCTAACAGAATAAATGCAGTACGTGGGCAAGTCAGACAACAAAGCCCCAAGGTGGCCATTGCACGTGTGCTTTGGGCAGACGTACCACCTGGCTAGTTGTTCACCTGGAACCCAGAGCGACAAACTAGACAGAGCAGTTGATCTAACAGAACCATCAACATTTTAATAAATTGCGCGGGGGTTCTTGGTGCTGTAATGTGCCTCACAGGCGGCGACATAAGCCGACTCTGGGAAGAAGTCATCGTGGTATTCCGCTAAAAACCTGAAAAAAACAAACAAAAGAAAAACCAATAGCCCCAATGAGCATCATACTAAGGACTAAAGACCATCAGGTAAAATATTAACTTTCAACCTACTAACATTTCAACTGTTTTTTGGTATTAGGAAGAACAAAATGACTACAATTTTGATCTCTCTATAGTGATTACTTTCACTGCACTTATCCAGCTTCTCTGAATGACTACTTATCTGAATACTTTCACCATCATCAGGCGTACAAATAGAAATAGAACCTAAACTCCACTAGGTGGCACTCTGGTTATATAAACACTTCTGTGGGGAAAAAATAAGCCCATGAATGTTTCTACTTTTTCCTATTTTTCAAACAAACTATTAAAAACAACAGATTACAGCAATAAATCTCGCTTGAGAAATTTACATCATTTATATGAGCAAAGTCACATAAAAATTGAACAGAACAACTAGTAATAGCATTTGGTGTCCTAATTTGCCATGCCAAAAGATGCTACAGTTCTAGCTGACGGTGCCAAGACATAGAAAAGACTCATGTGTACGAAGATGGATGTGCTGGTCATGCAAGAGTCTGCAATATACAAACGATATCTTGACTTCAACTTCAACTGATTTTGCCATGGAGAGCCAAGACATTCTCACATGTGCAATATTCACTAACAAGCACATTAATGAGCCTTATGCTTGCTTCCCAGTGACACCCACCTGCCCAAATTCCTAAAAATGTACAAACCTTCTTTAGTATAAATTGAGACAACACTCACTGGATAGCTAAGTCGTTCTCTTCTATGAGTGTACTCTTTTTATGATCATCGAGTCCACTGATTTGGGTTGATACCTTTGCATACATTTTTAAAACCTGTTACTAGGTTCATTAAGAAATCTTCCTAAGTTATCTCCTAAAATTCTAATTTCTACTTTGTATTAGGCATACTTCAAAATTAGCAGGGTTTCCTATGCTAACCCGCAGCTGACTCTTCATATTTTCTTGGCACTATTTGATATCAGTTTACAAAATTGTATGCCAAACAGAGCTGTAGGTTTTGTTGTGGAAGAGGCTGGGAGGGAAGAGGGTATTGTGGAAACTTGTTTCCAAGAAAATTTTGTAAAGTCTAATGCCACTCATGGATACTTTATTGGAAATGCCTACGTGAAAGGATCTTTTAAAACCACAAGATGATTTCCCTGGCTGGGATACTCTCCACTCTGCGGTAAATCCTACTTGATGAGTCAGGGTGGGGCCTGGATACAGGAATAGGGGCTCCTTAAAGAGAAAAAAGAAACAAAGTCAGGTAGCTGGGATGAGCCAGGGGGACAACTAGCCATGAAGACCAAGCAGAGGAAGCGGATTACAGACATCATCTGCAAGGGAGAGGACACAGCAGAACCTCCGGTCAAATGATCCTATTAGATAAGAAAATGGCCAGGCACGGTGGCTCACGCCTGTAATCCCAGCACTTTGGGAGGCCGAGGTGGGCAGATCACGAGGTCAAGAGATCGAGGCCATCCTGGCCAATATAGTGAAACCCCATCTCTACTAAAAAATACAAAAATTAGCTGGGCGTGGTGGCACGCACCTGTAGTCCCAGCTACTCAGTAGGCTGAAGCAGAAGAGTTGCTTGAACCCAGGAGGCAGAGATTGCAGTGAGTTGAGATCGTGCCACTGCACTCCAGCCTGGTGCCTGGTGACAGAGCGACAGAGTGACAGAGCAAGACTCTGTCTTAAAAAAAAAAAGAAAAGAAAATGACTTGCTTTGTCAGCTGCAGGAAACAATACCTTTCTCTGAATTCATACATCACAACACACACTAGGGGTCTTTTAATTATAAAGTAAACACTAAAATCCAATCAACGGTACTATTTAAATTAGTTTATGTACATGCAACAAAGGAAAGTCCAATGCTTGAGGTTCTGTTGAATAAAAAAATATAAAACTAAATTATCATCAATCTCAATCACTTCTACTTTAGAAAATTTATTTTGTTTATAAGCTTTTTCAATTAAATTCTTCTAGTGACACAAAAGAACTTTACCTCTGTACAATGAATGTCCCAACTCAGAAACTAGAGAAATTATGGAAAAAGGAAATACCAAAAAAACCTACTCTTAATTCCCATAGCTTAGAACCAACCATACTTAGGGAACTGCTACTATTTAAAATACCACAGAGCTGACTTCCCCATGTGCTAAAGAGAAGTTCAGAAAAGCCATATACATGGCAACAGACATAAGTTTTGACCAAGTAATAAAAATACCTCAAAAAGAGATCAAAGTGCTTCAATAAAGCCTTCAGATTCTTCTCAGAAAAGGACATCTTTCCAAGGATTTCTGGAAGTTTTACTGCATTAAAAATAAAAGCAAAACCATTTACAATGAGCAGAATCTGACAATGCATAGGATTCACTCAGCTATTGGAACTGAAATTAACATCCAGATTCTCAAACAAAGCCCCAAACTCTTACTGAACAAAGATAGATAAGCAGTACAAATTCTACAAACATAATTTTTATGAAATTTAGATTCATTCAGTGCCTTTTCTTTAATAGGTTACCTTTGTTTGATTTTCCTTAGATCCCTATATTTCTTAGATGTACAGAAAGCTAACAAGACAATGAAAAATGAAAAATGGGAAGAAGAAAGCAGGAACAAGGATTCTTACCAAACAATCGCAGCAAATGTTGTGCCCCATAAATGTAAGAGGGTGGTGGTGGCTGGTCACCTGGGGGATAATGGTCAGGCACGAGCTTCCAGGAGAGGACCTGGAAAAAGCACAAATTAAATGCTTGTTATTCTTAATGAGACACTTCCAACGACCTAACCATTATGACAGTGAATTGTACGTAGAGGGAAAAAATATACCATCGTATCAAAATAAACACAAGCTTATAAAAATCAGAGATGAAAGGCAAAAACACTTAAAATGGATTAAGAAAGTATTTGATTTCTTAACTCACAACAGTTATTCCCTAAAAATAACTGTAACTGTTTGGGTTCTTTAGCCCCTTTCTCTTTATTGAAAATCCTGCTGCATGGCCAGGCATGGTGGCTCACACGTATAATCCCAGTACTTTGGGAGGCCGAGGTGGGTGGATCACCCCACACCAGCCTGACCAACATGGTGAAACTCCAGCTCTACTAAAAATACAATAAACTAGCTGAGTGTGGTGGCAGACGCCTGTAATCCCAGCTACTTGGGAGGCTGAGGCAGGAGAATCACTTGAACCAGGAGGCGAAAGTTGCAGTGAGCTGAGATTGCGCTACCGCACTCCAGCCTGGGCAATGGAAACAAAACTCCGTCTCAAAAAAAAGAAAATCTTGTTGCACCAGAGTGAGAATGATGAAGCATTAAAAAGTAATCCATAGGCTGGGCGTGGTGGCTCACACCTGTAATCCCAGCACTTTGGGAGTCCAAGACGGGCAGATCTCAAGGTCAAGACTTGGAGACTATCCTGGCCAACATAGTGAAACCCCGTCTCTACTAAAAATACAAAAAAAAAAAAAAAAAAATTAGCTGGGCATGGTGGCACGTGCCTGTAGTCCCAGCTACTTGGTAGGCTGAGACTGGAGAACTGCCTGGGAGGCGGAGGTTGCAGTGAGCCGAGATCGCACCACTGCACTCCAGCCTGGCAACAGAGTGAGACTATGTCTCAAAGAAAAAAAAAAGTAATCCATAGATGTTCTGAATAATATTACTGTTGTTTCAAGATTCCTTGATTTCTTGCTGTTAGATTCATTATGGAAACTAATTTGAATCTTTCAACCCCTCGAATCAACTGAAATAGACTTCGAACCTGATAACTGATTTGTCTTCATTCTGAATTTCAGAACTGTGGGTGGACTTGGGGCTTTTGTTAAAGGGAGAGCTGCATTTGAAAAGTCTCTGATGACTTTCCATAAAAGTACTTCAGCAAACCACAGGACCATGTCTACTCTACCAAGCTACGACTTTGGCTTTTGGGACGTCATATTCCATATGGAAACAGACAGACTGGAGGAAGCCCTCCAGCAGACAAAGCAGCAAGGTGCCCCTCAAACCCGGAAATGCTGATACAGTCAATGTAACAGCATGAAACTGCCAGAAGCTAGCAAGCACCAAGGTGGCTCTGGAGGGTCCAGGACAAAGGCCTAGATTCACTTCGGCCCCTGCCAGCCCAGGCCAGACTCTCACTTAGGTGTCCACCCCCAGTGCCCCACTTTTGCACTGTGGAACACTGAGGGAAGGGATCATTCCAGTATCTTTACAGCATCCCTGCATCTGCCCAGCGCACATAGCTGAAGCTTTGGAACCATTCTGACAGTGACTCAAAGGGAACATACAGGACTTTGCAATCTTATAGGCATGAACAGCCCTTGGCATGTGCGAAAGCAGGTCATCTGGCTCTACTTCACCCACTCGATTGTGTTTCAAGGCAGTTTATGATCTTCTACTTACGAAGACACATTTTCCAGGGGAAAGTAGTAGGTTTCTAGTGGGGCATTCCCAGTGGGGTATGCATGGGAACCATCCATGAGTGGTCTTTACTAGCCACGTGCTGCCCCACACCAGCCCCTAGTACTGTGGAGCAGCGATTGGTACTGAAAGATCCCTGGTCATAAAACACGATAGTAGAGGTACATAAGAAGGTGGGAATCAAGGAAAGTTTCATAAGCCCTTGTGAGAGCCACCTGAACCCCAACCATTTCCCAGAAAACACTTTTAAACTATAAATTGCAGCTGTACCTATAACCACTAGATGGCGCCTTCGCACTGCAGACCAGTGTGGGAATGGCCCTTACTTGACAACTCAGATAGATACCCCTTAAATCAAGATTTCCTTTTGATAATAAAATCCGCAGTGCATTCTTAGCTGAAAAATGGGCGTACCATGGACTGCTTGAACTAGGGATTTCCTAACCTACCCTCAACAATCATGATAACACAAATTGGGCTTTCTAGGTTCTCTACAGGGTCAGCCAACTATAGCTCTTGGGCCAAATCCAGCCCAATGCTCATATGTTCAAAATGGTTGGGGGGAAAAAAGTCATATGAATAATATCTCACGATATGTGAAAATAATGATATTAAATTCTCAGTGTCCCTGAATGAATTGAAGGGCAGCACTCACAGCCACACCCCTTTATGGCTTTCCTGCTGAAACAGCAGAGTTGAGCAGTCTCTCAAGAGACCTGAGGGTACACACTACTGAAGATAGTTATCATCTGGAAGAAAGTTTTCTGACCCCTCTTCTTATCATCAAGGGCTCTTTGCCTAGGCCAGGAGCAGTGGCTCATGCCTGTAATCCCAGCACTTTGGGAGGCTGAAGCAGGAAGATCACTTGAGCTCAAGAGTTGGCAACCAGCCTGGGCAATATGGCAAAACCTAGTCTCTACAAAAAAATGCAAAGATCAGCCAGGCATAGTGGCATTAGCCTGTAGTTCCAGCTACTTGGGAAGCTGAGGTGGGAGATCACCTGAGCCCGGGAGGCGGAGGCTGCAGTGAGCCAACATCCCGCCACAGCACTGCAGCCCGGGTGAATGCACAAGAATGAGACCCTGTGTCAAAAAAAAAAAAAAAGTTCTTTGTCTAGCAAGGCCATCTTCCGCTGTGCAACTCCTACTCACCTCAAAAAAAAAAAAAAAGGAAATCTCACCTCAGAGGAGACATTCACAGAATAACAGAATATGCTGATAGACTGAGACCTCTTCAGAATCCCTGACAAACTCACTACCTACAGATCACCTAATGGGCCTTCAGAATGGCTTTAAAATGAAAAGTTCTCCCATCTATCAAGTGGAAATCTGGTGGCAAGGCTGATCTCGAGAAGGCAAGGTAATTTGGTTCAAGTGTCTGGCACAGTGGTGGCCTAGAATACACCCCTGAAGGGACGGCTCTTGGAATTACAGAGAATGATGGAGGGGAATCAGTTATACTAAAACAGGAGTCAGTAAACTACAGCCTGCTGGTCACATCCCGGCCAACTACTGCCTGTTTCTATACTGCCCAAAAGCTAAGAATAGATTTTATTTTTTTAAATGATTGAAAAACAAACAAATTTTTTTAAATACATGAAAATTAAATGCTAGTCAAATATCAGTGTCCATAAATAAAGTTTTATTGGAACATAGCACACTCATTTACATACTATCTGTGGCTACCTTTGGGGTTAAGTAGCCTTGACAGACACCATATAGCCCACAAAGCCTAAAGTATTTACCCTCTTGCCTCTGTAGAAAAACTGTGTTAACATCTGTTCAACAAAGTAAAAATACTGGTACCTCAATAATCGCACTTATTTCAAAGATGACTGTCAGTGTAGGGCTGGAATCCTAACATTTTTCTCATTTTAGAAACCAAAACCCACAGTGTTAAGCATGATCTTACATATAATTTTGTTAATGTTTACAGTAAGAGGAACAAGATGCTTCAAGAACCTCGATTTCCACCCACAGAATTGAAGCAATCACAAATGAAGGAACCATTGGGAACAAACATCATTCTTTACCTCATTTATTTCATTAGTTCTTCTCCCTTCAAAGCCAGCAAACACAGCACTCCCTTCCTTGCTGGGAGTCAGAGGAATAGGTGAAGATGATCTGCTATGCACAGGTGTCTCTTCCAAAGAAAGAGATGAAATTATTCACACAGCAGCTGAATTAAAGAGTGCCTCAAGATTTAAAAACTGCAGAACATAAATCTCAACTTGGTTCTCGGAAACTGCCAACCTTTAACAATAAAACTTTCCTTTTATAACAGACAGCACCTGAATTTTATTTGCTCAAAAAAATAAGAAATGAAGCACTGCCACATGCTACAATGTGGATGAACCTTAAAAGACTATGCTTAATGAATGGAGCCAATCACAAAGGGTCACATATGATGCTTCCGTTTATATGAAATGCCCAGGGAGGCAAGTCCAGAGAGAAAACAGCTTAGTGGTTTCCAGGATCTTGCAGAAGGGAAAGTGGGGAGTGATTGCTACTGGATATGGGATTTTTTTGGGGGGGGGTGCTGAAAATGTTCTGGAATTGACTGTGAATACACTAAAAACTGCTGACTTGTACACTGGTGGACTGTATATGTTGATGTGTCAATAAAACTGTTTAAGTGCCACTGAATTCTTAACTTTAAAATGGTTAGTTTTATATGTGAATTTCACATCAATAATACAAATTTTTTAAAAAGTACAAAGAGAAACAGAAAAACATAGCACTTTATTTTGTAGCACCTTTTTAAAAAGTCTTTTTTTAAATTTTCCCAGCTGACTGTCAATCTTCATTCAATCAACCAGTCGTTATTAACCACTTACATACAGATGAGTCCATGTATATGAAATGCCCCAAACTGGCAAATTTATAGAGAGAAATTAATTAATGGTTGCCAGGGGACACAGGGAGAGGCAAATGAGTAACTCCTAGTGGAGGTGGGTTTCTTTTTTGGAGTGGTGAAAATGTCTAAAATTGATTTCAGTGACGGTTGCCTAACTCTTTAGTTTTGCCCAACTAAAACTATTTTGTTAGTTAGTTATCTATCAGACAGGGTGGTCTCTGTGTCGCCCAGGCTGGAGTGCAGTGGCCCAGTGAGAGCTCACTGCAGTCTTGGACTCTGGGCCTTAAGCGATCCTTCAGCCTCAGCCTCAGCCACAGCCACAGCTGCAGCTGCAGCCTCCCAAGTAGCTGGGACTATAGGTGCACATCACCACACCTGGCTAATTTTTTTTTTTTTTTGTAAGAGATGGGGTTTCACTATGTTGCCCAGGCTCGTCCTGAACTCCTGACCTCAAGTGATCCTCCTGCCCTAGTCTCACAGGCATGAGCCACTGTGTCTGGAGACACTAAAAACTTTAAATGTGTGAATTTTAATGTATGTGGATGATATCTCAATCAAGCTGTTTTTAAAAAGCACTTGATTTTTTTTAGCGCTTGATTATTCAAAGGACTTCTCTTAAAGGTATGTCTTCTTTAACTCTGCCCTTCTGAGTCTTCCCAATCTTCAAAGAATCAACAAATCCTTTCACACACCTGGAACTATGCCCCCAACACTGGCTATAATGACGTGACACAACCAACAAATCAGCCCTTTCTCTCAGGAGCTTATGAGGTGGCCGGGAAGGGATGTACACAAGGTAACAGGCACCTGAACACAGAATGGCACTGTGATGACAGTTTTGGGAGTCCCAACAGGGTGATGCTTAGAAGGACCCCTGAAGGAGTCAGCACAGGAGAGGCTGAGGGAAGAACAGGGGTGAGCACAGTACACACACAAGATACGCCTACTGGGGCAGGAGGATTCGACTCCAAGGAGTTTTACCCTGACCTAAGCTTTGAAGGTGTTTTTGATGTTTATGAGGGGTGTCTTAGATTTCACAGCCTGTGAGCAGCTACGCGCTGTGAAAGGAAGGCCACCAGGCCTCCATCTCTGCAGTTGGGCACTTGGTACCTCCTGGTAGAGCGCTGTCTCCACCTCTACACAGTGTGCTGGTGGACAGGCATGCAAGCTGCCTCCCCTACTGCTGACTTCCTAACTCACTGCCCCCGCCAGGCACCAGGTGGCATCGTCGGCACTGCTGCCACCAACTTTCCATTTCATATGGTTTTGGCAGTCAAGGGTGGAAGGATATAAGCATGAAGCACCCTGTCTTTTATTTGTGAATGAGGTCTTCAATATAAAGTGAATACTACTAGTAAGGGGGCTTCATTAGCATAGGCTAAACAACCAGATTTTAATTAATCTGGGAAAATACCTGGTTAGTGTATGGCAGCTAATGTTAGTTTCTACAGTAATTGTTTCTGATTCATGGCACCTGTTTTAGCACTTTTTGAAAGTTTAAAATGATTGATTAGCAGTGGCTTCCTTCTAAGTTTTATATTACAGCAAATCAACCTGTGTCTATCTTGGAAAAAAAATAAAGTCAACTCTTGTCTAATGTATTTTTCCCACTGAAACATTGCAGCTGAAAATCAAGGTGAGCAGATCTGACGGAGTGTGAGTTGGGCTAAGAGGAGGTGGGAAGTGATGACAGGGATGTGAGTATTCTCACTTTGATATTTTAGGACAGAACTTTCCAAATTAAACTTTAGAATGGAGAGACTACTGAGACAAAGTACAAAGAACACACAAAAAAACGAAACAACCCATTAGGATTGCTCATTTTGAATGAGTCGTTAGGCCTAGCTACACAATATATAGAATTCTGATACCTCGATTTGCTCACAAATGGCAGAGTGATGGCGAGAAAGGCTGGGGAAACAGCTCCAGAAAGCAGGCAGCATAACAGCACTTTGGACGTGGGAATCACACACCATACACCCACACATGTAACCTCAGCACCGTGCCCAGCACCGGTTAAACACGAGATACATGCTGGCCCTCCCCGGCCTTGGCCACCCAAGAATGAACCTACTCTTTTCGAGGTGCAGGAAGAGCTTGGGCATGCTGGCGGACGTGTCCTGCTGCCTGCGCTTGGGCTGAGGGGAAGCGCTGCTCTCAGAAAGCCTGTCACAGTTAGTAGTGTGGCGCGTGGACCGCCTCAGAGACTGCAATGCTTCTGGCTCAGCTTTGCGCCTTTTGGGGGTGGCTGGTTCACCGGTGGTCGGCTGACTCTCTGTGGACTGTGGCGTGGATGGATTCAACAAAGGGGGGCTGGGAGAGAGCTCCTCCTGGCTCCTAGAGAAGATGGAGAAGGTCACACAGGGCCGGCCCAAAGGGCCTTTCCAGAACATGGAGGGCTTCTGAAGACACGAAATGCTCTCTCCACTCCAGGAGGGCTGTAAATCTGTACCTAAGTCATTTGGACCCTGTCCATAACTCTGTAACGCTGGCACTAAAGACTGTGATGCCCCCGGTATATGTGTCTTAGAGCAGTGGGTCTCAAGTGGGAGCAACACTGCCCTGACAGGGAACAAACAGCAACGCCTGGAGACATTTTTGATTGCTGCAACTGAGGAAAAACGTGCTATTGGCATCTCGTGGATGAAGGCCAGGAATGCTGCTAAGCGTCCTGTATCACACAAGGAGCCCCACAACCAGGAAAGATCTGGTTCAAAACAGCACTAGGGCCGACGCTGAGAAATGCTGGTCTAGACAACGAGAATACCCTATCAGCTCATCGAAATGTAACTACTGGCAGGACTAGGAAAAGCATCGGGGTTGCTGTGTGAAAACACACGCCCCCCCACCCCGCCCTCCCCGGAGGAGTCTTAAGGATTCAATTAGGCCCTGGTGACTTGGAAGCAGGTCCCCAGTGAGTCCTGCAGGCCTCTCACCTAGGGTAAAACTGACATGGGAAAGGGAAAGGAGGGAGAAGCTACCAAAGGAAGGCTGGCTGAGGAGATGGTGGCCAGGCAGACAGAGAAGCTGGGGAGCCCACAGCCATGAAGCAAAAAAAGAAAGGGAGGGCAGGGGAAGGTGCTGAGGCAAAGGGCAGTGTACGGCAGGAGGGAGGTTATCAGTACACCTGCAGGCAGGGTTGTGCGGCACAGCAGCAGATGAAGGCAGATGGTAAGTGGTTAAGAGAAGAGACGGATGAGTGGAAATCATGAAAACAGACCACTTTCTCAGGAAGAGAGGGAAGAGGGAGGAAACACAACACCTTATAGAGATTAAAGGAAGGACTTTAGGATGTGGGATCCCCCTCCCTGCACCCCCAAAAAGAACAGAGCATGCTTGGTCACTGAGAGAAGAAAAGTGGTGCCATCACAGAGCAAGAAGAGAAGTAACTTTTCCTGAAGGCCAAAGGTTGCAGGCCCTGTATGGACATTCCCATTTACTACCACTAGCGAGGCCTACCTTCACTCCGTCACAAACCTGCAAAAGAAGGAGGGTCCTAAGGAATCTCCCCAACTAACACAAACAGCCAGTGAGGGTGCTCAATTCAACCTGCCCCTTCCACCCTTCTCGGCCTGTGCTCTCTTCACCCCACCCCCTGCTGTCTTCCCACAAATGGGATAGCTGCTCATCATCCCACCAAAGTTCTCTGTGCTGGGGTCTTCACTTGGTAGACTCCGCCAGAACCATATGACAGTGAATGACGATTTAGCTTATCCAGAAAAAAGAAAACCACTAGGACAGACACTTTTCATTCCCTTCCCTCCTCCAAACATGGTAGACCACAGCATCAGACTGAACTCCTCAAAAGAAGGATCTGACATCTAAGGGGAAAGTGCAGGCTATCTAACTTACCTGGCAGTGCTTGTGGCACTCTCCTTAATCGGAAGAAAAAACTTAGACGAAGTCACCTTTTTATACTGAGCTTGTTCATATGGATACAGTAAAACCAATGGGAGAGTGTAATCAAAGGTTATTCGTAATCCATCCACCATCTCCTTACAAAGGTCAACACTGGGAAGATTAAGAAGAGATTAGAGACACAATGAAGTAGGAGGTACTTTCCAAAATTTCACAATGAAGCTGCCCATTTTTCATAGGGGAGTTTTAAACATTATATATTGTACCTACATACACACAAAATGAAATGGATTTATAGATACTGTCAAGATTACATAGCAAAATATAAAGTGCAGAAAGGACAGCAGTCACTTTAACTTATCCCACTAAACACAAATAAATATGTTCAAGGCCACATGAGGTATCCAGCAGCCTGTGCTGCTTAAGCAGACAGGTGGACATGTCCCTACCACTGGGAGCTGAAAGGGGTTGACCCTAGTGAGCCCCTCACCCCTTTAACTCCAACACTCCACCTTTCTGCCTCTGGTCTAGCTGAGTCATGTGTGCCCGGCAGGATACAAGGGAGCTTTCTCTAACTGGAATGAAAATCTGTTTGCAAATAAACTTTGAGAAATCCTCACTGCCCATTCTGGTGCTTCTCAAGGAACGTTCTCGCCCTAAACAGTAACACTGAAAATCTGTCTCAGTGCTGAGGCAGGACATTTTTCAATGCATCCACATCAGATGTGTAAATAGTTACTGAAGTACTGAAGATTTCACAGGTGACAAGGTTTTAATATGAGATTGATGATTCAGTGAATTATGAATAAGTCACTAAATATTACATGAATTCAAAATAAGTGAGTAGAGACAAGAGTCCCCTGTTCTAAATGGAAGCCGCCTCTCTAATTCGCAGAGAACCACAAAACAGAAAACATGCCAGTACTCACTTCCTTTCTGCTGGGATATAATGCACGTTCATGTTGGCATGTGGCATAACGTGATGGTGACGAGGTCTCTCATTGGCTGAAAAGGCTGCATTGATAGCGAAATGTTTCACATAGGATTCCAAAATGGTTATGATGTTAGTCTGGCATGGAAGCTTCACTAACTGTTAACAAAAATATAGACATCTGATGTACGAATCCTAATGTAACAAGCCACATATCGAGAAACACTGGTCATGTATGTATCATTCTTTAACTCAAAAATAAAGCAAAGCCAATTCTGTTTGAACTTCTTAAATCTGTTCTCAACTTGTTTGATCTTTTTTCCTTTGTGATCATGACCTGACGTTGATTACAATATTACTGTTATGAATAGACATAAGCAGTGATTCCTAACCCTGGTGATCTGTTAGAACAACTTTGGGAGCCCCTTCAAGTATACCTACAGTTGGGCTGCACCACAGATCAACTAATTCTTAACTTCTGGGCTGAAGCATAAGCAGCAGAAATTCTGGAAAGCTCCCGAAACAACCCTAATGGGTAACCAGGGCTGTGTGAGTTATAATTTAATCAGCTGCACAGCACCACCGGCAGAGAACTTTAAAACCTAACTCAGTACAAAGCTGAAAAACATAAATTTCATTCCTCCAAGATTCGCTATTGCTTAAGTCTACAATTGCAAAATATGGCTAAATGAAATTTCTAAACAAATCACTATTTTATACACTCTCCCTACATACCCGTTTCCTCCTATTAATGTAGTAACAATCATCCTCCAGCTGCTTCTTCAGAACTTCAGGAATTTCTATAGTTATTGTTCTTTCTTCCATTTCCCTTTTTGTTTGAAGCTCCGGTTCTTGTTTCTGGAATATCAAAATTCCACTTTTAATTATTTAAAACAGCAGAGTCAATATCCAAAGAAAGACTAACATGTGAGAGTCTGCTATGAAACAAACCCAGCTAATCCTCAGCACTCCCAGTATGCCACGTGTTCTAATGAAAAGCATGTTAAAGGGCAAAAATTAACTTGTTTGGGGGCACGCAACACAATACAAATATTTACTTTCTTTCTTTCCCATTTAAGTTTACCACTAGAATCTATACTAACTTTGGATGCAGGCAGAAGACATCACACTCTGCAGGCTCCATTAAAAATATTAATCATCATAAAACAAATAATTTGACTGGAAAGATAACCATAATTTGTGGAAACACTTTGGGGGCATAAAGACCCATTAAGAGACTCACATGGTGATTATAAATAAGGATTGTTTTTCTTTAAATGTCAAACAAAAATTTACATTATTGGTTTAAAAGATGTATCTTTAGAAAACAATTCACAGCTGGAAGAATATTTCACCATGAATTTTTACCATTAAAATATGTAACAAAGAGAAAGTGTTTACAATAAAAACTTTATACCACTTCAGTCTTTTCTTCAATATCACTTTCTTCACTTATTTCTTCATCCTTGTCTTCAGCACTGTCAGAGGAACTGTTTAATGCTAAGTGAAACAAAAGCATCTGGTAAACCCGCATTATATCCTCCACCAACCCTTATGTCTACAAATCTTCACATGTAGTGTCGGTGCTACTAGAAATAATAAACTGTAGTTCCATGTATATTTTAAATGCTGAACACAAATACTGTATCATTTACAGTAGAAAATTATTGGCTGGGCACAGTGGCTCACACCTGTAATCCCAGCACTTTTGGAGGCCAAGATGGGTGGATCATAAGGTCAGGAGTTCGAGACCAGCCTGGCCAAAATGGCAAAACCCCGTCTCTACTTGAAATACAAACATTAGCCGGGCCTGGTGGTGGGTGCCTGTAATCCCAGCTACTCAGGAGAGGAGACTGAGGCAGGAGAATCCCTTGAACCTGGGAGGCGGAGGTTGCAGTGAGCCAATATCGTGACATTGCACTCCAGCCCAGGCGACAAGAGCAAGACTCTGTCTCAAAAAAAAAAAAAAAAACTATTTTGACAACCAATTTCAATGGATGTAAAATCATACAAGCTAATGATCTGAACGTGTTCTGTCAGTTAGGATTCTACAGTTTCCTATTGCATTCATAAGTGGGACCAAGGCTGGGAGGTCCCAAAGAGAGAACAGATCCCATGAGAACACACCCGTGGGGGGTTGCACAAAGACGCTGGTCAAGAGGGCAGTAGTCACAAGCATGACTCTGCTAAGGTTCTATTACTGACTTCTTGACTTCTTATATTGACTGCTACTTTAATTGTCAAAAATAAATGGGGCAAATATTATACATAATGAGGTTGAAGTGTTTCCCTCTCTAGAATTTCAATGACTCCTTCTCTCAGTCTACGTGGAAGTTCTTTCAGCCAAAGAAAATGAAGTTAAGCTACTCACAGTTTTCGTCATTTTCATCTTTCTCTTCACTGGGGAGGCCTTTTAAGACAGAGTCAACACCAGGCAACCTGCAGCGCTTCTTCTTTCTTCCTGTGCTCCTCCTGAAAAACAGTAGCAAACAACAGAAGTACATTTTGACATTGAACTTGTGAGCCTTGGGATCAAAACGAGACATAATAAAGAATGAAATGCACCTGAACAAAATTAAACTTTAGAACATAAATGGTAATTTCCATTTCAGGAAATTACACAGTAACCACTCTGAAAACACTGAGGTTATTCACAATGCCATAGGAATAGTCTTCCCCTTACACACTTTCAATATGTAAAATTACTTAATAAATGTTAGTCATTTTATTACTTTTATATCATAAAAATCTAAGACACTAAGAGAAAATACATTGCATAACATTTATATCTTGATTTTTATATTCTTACAGGCGAGCTACAGCTTTTCTTGCCAATTTACGCTGTAATCTACGATTTTCATCGGTATCACGAAGCACATGATCTTCGGCTGCCCATCTATCCCAGCTAATTGAACAAAAAAGGAAAATTCAGTACTTTAGTTTGATATGAAACAAAGGCTAAAAGCACCTCACACCAATAAAAATGGCCCACAATTCCTTTTTAGAAAACGATTCAAATATTTTAAAATCACAAAGAGGCAAATAAACTGAAAAAGTAACTCATTCAGACACAGAAACAATTGGAGTTTTCAAAATCACCCAGACAGAGTTCAAATACAATCTACTTAAAACTATTCCTCATTATAGGCAAGATCTGTAACAAAGTAAAAACAGGAAATGAATCAAACTTCTCTACAAGTGTTTCTAAAACTTAAAGAATTAGGCAATGCTTCTGTGCCGCAAAGACAATTAGTTTTCAGTCTGGTTTAACAAGTTCACTCACCTTCTGTTCCAACCATTAAAATGGATCAGATATTCTGGGATCTTCCTGCCTTTTTCGTCTTTCCCAACAATAACATCAACAATCTGAAACCAAGAAATATTGCCCACAAGTGACAGAACATAAAGAAAATTAGAAGTTAGATCAGGAAAACTAATTCATAGACCCTTTTTAAAGAAAAGAAAGCATTCTCTCCTCTTTTAGACCGAGGGCTGGGTTGAAATATTTTTCCTTTCATTTTTCCCCCCAGTGGACGCCTTCAAAATAGGAAACATCCGTCCAACCGCCCCATGATTGGTCTCTGAGCATGAGACAGTGTGAGGTTTCTGAAGCCATTGGCCAGCCGATGTGTCACTAAGGGGAGAGTACAGGCTAGACGAGAACTGCAGCCTCGAGACCTCTGGGAGTTGTAGTCCCCCGGGCTCCCCTAAATTCAGGGCCCGGACCGCTGGCTGGAGACTCTGTAATCCCTCCCTGCTGTTTCCCTAGAGAGAACATCTAAGACTAATGATGGGGCATGCCCCTCCACCAACAGACTCTGGGGCCGGGAGAACAAGGAGGGAAAGCAGATGTGGTTAGAAGACAAGAGCGGCAGAGGGAACTGAAGGCACACTAAGCTCATCCCTTTAGGGATGTCCTTTAGCATTTCTAAAGGACAGAGCAGCCAAAGACCCACCTGGGGCTGCCTTTGTCCCTATCACCTAAGGCTTCGCCCAGGGGGCGCCAGGAACCCAGGTCTCTAAAATGACCACCTGAAATGAAAGCATGTGGGCGCCTTCCTTGGGGATCTGGGAGGCCGGGTGCCAAGTCCTGCCCTCCACCCAAATCCGAGGAGCTGCAAGATGTGGCTCAGCTACCGGAGACTCAGGAGGACCGGCACGGGGCGCGAATCCCGTCAACTATGGTCAGACCCACGTAAATCCTTTAGGGTTTGAAAACGTCAATGCTGCAAGGCCCTGGGGTATGAAGAAAACACTGGGCCAACCTTGCCCTCGGAGTAAGGTTCACGGCTTACAGGAGGGATGGGGCCTAAATCGGACTAGGATCCCAGGGACACGACGTCTCAAGTCAGCGGCCAGCGCCGTGGAACTACGAATTAGAACCTGGATCGGACGACCAGGGCATCCAACAGGAGCCCACCCGGCACTGGCCGCACAGGAGGAGAGACAACGCGATGACAGAAACCGTATTCGAGAGGCCTCCTCCCTCAGCGGCCCGCGTCGGTGTCGGGGTCGCAAACGGTAGCCCCGGTAACGCAACAAAGCACGGGCGAGGCTACCGATCGCGCGTGCGTCGCCCGGGCTGACGGAAGGAAGCGGAAGCACCCCAGACCCCGCCCCTACTCCCACGCGCAGCGCCCTATGAGCGCCCCCTGCCGGCCGCACCCCTCCTCGCAGGCCGAAGAGCCCGGCCGGTCCCCCAGCTCCGCGCGGCCATCCGCCCCCGCCCCCGCCTTCGGTCCCCGGGTCTCCCAGCCCGCGCCTCCTCCCTGTCCTTCCGCGGCGGCACCTTGGCATCGTACAGCACTCGCGCCTTGGTGGGGTCAGGCTCGAAGCACAGCACTTTCTCCCCTGAGTGGAATTTAAATTTCATGCCCTCGCTCGCGCTCATTTGCTCATCGTGGCGGAGGGCGAGGCTCCGGGGCGGGCGGAGCGCGCGCGGTGGGGGAGGGCGGGCGGGGGCGGGGAGGCGGTGCGCCGCGGTCGGGGGGGGCCGGGAATGGCGGAGGCTGTGGCCGCCCCGCCTTCGGCCCCTCCTCCGCCCGCCCCGAGCCGCTGCGGAGACCTCGGAGGCGCCGGGCGCGCGCGCTCCCGGCTGGGCGCGACCCCGCACGTCCATGCCGGGGCTCCGGGAGGGGGGCGGGCAGGGAGCACGACCCCCTTGCCAAGGTCTACCGGCAGGACGTCTCCCGTCGCCCCCATGGGAGAGGGTCCCCGCGGCCTCCAGGCTGTGCCCACGTGTGCGTAGGGTCGTCCGTCGCCCCGGGGGCCCGCTCTCCGGCCCGGGCGTTGGGGGCGCCTCGGAAGAGAGCGAGCCGGTCTGGAGTAGGCACTCGGCGGCAGGGAGGCTGGACGGCGTCTGCCCCCAGGAGCTCCCTGGCCGTGCGCGCCGCGTCAGCCCCCTTGGCAGAGCCGCGCGCCGATGAGTGTGGCCACGCGAGGAGAACGCAGCGCTGGAGCTGGCCACAGGCGGGCAGTGGCCTCGGGCGAGGGCAGAAGGGCACTCAGGGCAGTGAAATGAGCACTTGCTTATCCCTTCAGAGGAAAAGCCGGTGGCAGGCCCGGAGCCCCCAGTGACGGGGTAAGCAGTGGGCAGCGAGGCACATGGGTCCTTAAAGGGTAGCTGACATCTTCAGTGTCAGCTTCTAACGTGGCCTCCCAGCCCCCAGCATCCCGGGAATGCCCCCCACGGTCTATCTGCTCCAGTAGAGTAAACATTCCATAAAGGGTGGAAGCACCCTTGAGGCCGCTATCAATATGGTACGTGCACAGAGTAGGTGTTAAGTAAATACTCCATGAGCGAATGACAAGTGATGGGAGACTTGCAGTGCAAACTTCCAGGAACAGGAAGGACTGTGCTGGGCTTTTTCTTTTGAGTTTTGGAAAGCCACTGGGCAGCGTAGTTACTGGATTAGGACCGGGCTGGAGACCAGCGACCAGGCTAATCTCTGCGGACCTAGTGAACTTCCACTACTCTGTTCTAGCCTACAGAAAGTTGCATTTGCTTCCCCTGCGTACGCGTCCTTCACATTTCAGCAGAGGCATTGCCAGGAGAAAAGCCCTCGGGCTTCCCAAGATAAATTATAAAGCCCCGAGGTGTTCCCTCCCAGGACTCTACTTACCCCTTTCTTGCCTGTACCACCGTGCTGTAGAATGGGTTGTTCATTTGCAGAATGCCCTCATTAAGACAGTAAGCTGCTTGAAGCTGCGGGTAGGAGTCTTATCCAATTCATCATGGCATACTCCTGGCACAATATGGAATGAATGAACAGATTGATTTAGGAAATAGAACCCACAAAACTCAGTGGCCAACTAGATGTGAAGAAGAGGGAAGGAGGAATCTTGGGAGACTTCCAGGTTTTCTGGCCTAGGAATTGGGTGAATAATAGCTGTATCCACCAGAATAAGGACTATACAGAGGAGATAAAGGTTGGGGGAAGACAGTCAAATGATGGCCTTTGGGGTAATACAGTGTAGAAACCAGAACTGGAACCATGATTCCTCTCCAGGTTGTGGTTTATCAGATCAGAGATGAGAAGAGTGGATAGTGGTGTTCCCCACGAATGGCAGGGGCAGGTTGAAAGCACACGTAGTTGCACATCCTGTGTAAACCACAATTAAAGTATTCACCTTTTTATTTTTCCTGCCCATGAATGGAGAGTTCCGCTCCAGGCTCTACCCTTTCAGGGATAAGATTTTAGATGTTCTCCTTCGTTTCTCGCCAATTCCACCCCTTCTTATGTCATTGAGCAATGCCTCTTTCACTCTCCCTCTAAAAATTCCAAGAATGCAAAAGCCTTCAGGAACCTAAAAGTTACAAAGCCTGCCAATGGCGGCACCGCTTCCAACCTTCCTCCAGGAGCACCATTTTTCCTCTCTGGTATAAAGGTTAACAAGGCTGGCTCTGCAGACCACTCTCCAGGACCCAGTCCCATGCTTGTCACTTTCTAGTTTGTGAACATGGAAAAGTGGTTAGTCTCTTTGTAATGCACTTTGTTAATGTTTAAAATGAAGGAAATAGTGGCTCCTATTTCGTAGGGTTCTTTTAGTGCCTGACATGTAAGTGCTGGGTAAATGTTTGCTCTTAACATCAGGCATTTCTTATGTTTCTCCTTGTCCCCCATTCATTCATTCATTCAACAAATATTTATTGGGCTTTCTGTGTGCTGGTTGCTAGACACACAAAGTAGAATACGTACAATACCCCTGTCCTCCCAGAGGGCACATTTCAGGAGGGCAAAGCAGCAAGGAATCAAGTTCAAGCGTGTATTAGGGTATGTGTATACCCTGATAAAGCTGGTGTGGAATAAAGGAGATAAAAGAGCTTACTTGTCTCTAGGAGGAGGGAGAGTGTCCGAAAAACTCCAGAGAGGAAGGCACTCTTGAACTGCAATTTACGTGTTTTCCTCATTTTCCAGTTTTTGCAGTTTTGGACAGTAGTTGTTTTGTCTGCATTCGGGCATGATTATAGAATGGTCTTGTTTTTGTCGGGATTAAGATAGCCATCAAATCTTATAACAAATCTTTTTGATTTCTCATTATACGTCACCTAGTGGGTCACTGACCCACAGGAATCCCTTCTCAGCAAGGTGCATGCAGTGCCCGATCCAGTTAGATGTGCTCCCTGCCCGGTCCCTGCTGGCCGAGGCCCAATTTTGTTCAGGTGTTTGCCATTCCCCGTTCTCAGAGCAGACCTCCCACCAGGGCTCAGGCTGGGGTGAAACTTGATCGGACTAATATGTTAGAGCGTCTGAGGATACATTCGCAACAGCTGGAGAACTTTGATGACTTTTTTTTAATACTGTTGCCAGGAGTTGCAATTTTGTTTCCAAAGCTCGCAGGCGATTCCACTGTGCAGGCAGGGCTGAGAACTGTTCTAAACCAATCCCGGCAACCCCCTTAGTCTTTCAGTGATTGCTTTAAGTGTGGTCATGTGATACACCTGGCCAGTGAGAAATTTTAATAGCGAGTTAAAATGAAGAACTGTGACTACTTCTGAAAAGATCTTCCACCCACCTCCCTTCAAAAGAAATAATCTGGCATAAAGTCTCATCTTCCTCACTGGGTGTTATTGACTGCATTGGAATGCGGGGTTGGGGAGGGCGTCAGTGCTGCAGCCACCTTGGCACCACGGAGCAGAGCTGGCAGTCATCACTGAGGCTCTGAGGATGAGAGCCCAAGGCTAGCACTCGTTCACCTGGGTCAGTGGGGAGCTGTTGAGCCCCTGATGCACTGAATTAACTAAACCTGCTGCCTAATGCCAAACTTCTTGCTCTGTGACATAATAAACCTCCATGCAGCAAAAGCATCCTGATCATGCCCCTCCTGCAGTTGTAGAGTTGGATTATTGGCATCTGGCATGATGTCTATTGCTAATTTTGGTGATATTGATGAGATGGACCTCTGATGGTGAGAATACATTTTTCCATGGACATGTAGACATAATTGGTGTTGCATTTGAAATACTATTTCACATATATTCAGTATTCAGTAGACTGTGGGCATAAAGGCTAAACCTAGTTACCATTTATGATATGGTTTCAACTGGAATGTCTGTTTTAGGTTAGAATCAAACTTTAAATGAATTTCTGGAACAACCCGTTTATAAAGTTAAGAACAATCTATGACCTTACAACTGGATGACCTTACAGTTAGATTTTTTTTTTCTTTTGGTCTTAGGTAATATGCAGACCTACATCCTAAGAAGGTATTTTGTGGTTGATAAATATTCTGATAAAAAGTTACAGTGATTCTTTTCCAAAAGTTGCAATGCTTCTTAATCCTTAATCCTTGTTGGTGCTTCTCAAGTGGAGATGACCTTCATTGCTTCTTGGTTTCCACCCCTAATTCTTCAGATGATGTAGGGATGTAGTTCCAATGGAAAACTATGCTACCTACATTGTGGTTATATTTTGAAGAAGGCATTCCAGAATACTGCCATGAATGCCCTCCAGTCAAAGATGGCTAGTAACACACTTGCTAAACTTGAGTTGAACACATTGTATATTGTTTATTTCAGCAAGGGGGAAGATGTACCATGGGGAGTTGTGGGGACCCTCAGTGAGGAAGGGTTAGAAAAGGCTTATTGGAAAACTTAGGCTTCTGTTTGGTGATTTGGTGGCTTGAAGCCCCCCTCCTTGGGAAGTAGTTAAGGATGCAAGGTTTTTCTCTGCATTGGATGGTGTCATGAAGAGAGGATTTTAGGATTGGGTATTTGATTACATCTTACCTAGGAGGAGGAAAAACTAGATTGAGCTGAAGGTGTAATTGGTAAAGAAGTGGCTGTCTCTCATATTAGCCAGGAGAAGGGACGGTTTTGGATTTTGTGGTTTGGACAGTAGTTGTGTTTTGCTTATGTTCAGGTGTGATTAGAGTGGTCTTGTTCTTGTCATGATCCATCATGATTCCTAAGTGGTTTCACCTGATCTTCTGTGACACTGTTTATGATCAATAGGAGAACAGCCAGGCCCAGCTGTGCATGCCTGGCCAACTCCTGGATGTCAGAGGCTGCCTAGTTTTTCCTAAATCATTAAGGTTTATTGAGCGTTTGCCATGTGATAGGCATTTGTG